CGGGTCTGAAAAAGACTATGAGCCAAACATAAAAAGCCCAACGAAAATGCCAAAAATGAGTAAGAAGCATGAAAATGTCCAAAATCATGCGTAAACTGTGTATTTAGGGTTCAAAAGTTGGTTAGGACCCTTCGGGGCCTAACCACGGTGTGCTCCTCGCTCCATGCTTTGAATCGGCAAGTTGTGGGCATGAAACAGACTCCCAGAGCGAGAGTTATGTTGTTTTAAGCACGACCCCCTTTGGTAGCCCGATCATGGGCCTCCAAGAACAATATTGCCAGGTCCTCCACCCTTAGGCCCGCATCAGTTAATGTCACTAGTTTATGTTGGTATTTTGTGTATCGAGTACAATGATCGAAAACTATAAAGGTGGGAATCCATTAGCCCATTCGATATTGTGTTCTCAAGCTATACTTGATAAAACTAGTTGATAGTTGAAAAATTAGCTGGTAAAATTATAACGTTTTATAATAAGTAGTTGATAAATTAATTTCATATAACCAAAAAGGACATGTTAAATTAATTAGTTTTAGCGTTATATAGCATTACTATAACAAAAATGACTAATACATTTCAACATATTAAAATAAGTAGTATCCAAAATAAAGAGTTTTTTCGATTATCTAGATTTAATGTAAATTCCTTTCCTTCAGTATCATAGCAATTTTATTACAAAATTTACTCAAAATTTAAAATCATTAATAGTGTAACCAAAAATCAGTGTTAGATAATTTGTTATCTATACTATATTATAAATTATTTGATAAAAATTCTTAAAAACCATTTTTTATACGTAAAGTATTGTTTATTAATGCATATTACTTAAAACTCAAGATTACAAGTAGATTGTACGTAAGTACAACTTATTAAAGCTTCATATCTGAATTCGTGTAACTAACAGCAGATAAACATAATCAAATATAGGATAAACATCTCATTTTAAATATAAAAAATCTAAAATATAATTAGGATAATTATTAAGTTTTAACAGAATACTTAATTATTATCTTTATAAAATGTTATATTATTAAACCAAAAATAAAAATATGAATTAAAAAATACAAAAAAGAGAATTTTTAAATAGTTAATTTGGTATTAATATCAATATTTTTTTTTTCAATTTCGTATGATATATCTTTATATTTATATTTTATTCAAAAATAAAAATGTTATCGCTTTCTCAAAATCACATAAAACCGCATTATAATATCAATTGAGACAAAAAAATAAATAAAACGAAACATTAAAATCGAAATGTATCTCGCTGTATTGTGCGAATACCCTTTTAATATAATATATATTAGTTCATGATTTTGAATAATTAACCACTTTACACTTAATTATGTATAGAAGCAAAGTTTGTCGACCATAAATATTTTATTCAACAATTTAAATACTTTCATGAACCACTTATCGAAATTCTAATATTTAAAAAAGAGAACCTTTATATATTTACAAGAATTCTTGTATTTGATTTCGGGTTACTAATATTTTGGATAATAATAATAATAATATAAAAAATATAGTTCAAGATAAGTGATATTTAGTATTTTTAATAAAAACTAATAATCAAATATGAATATTTAATAAGTAATTTGATAATTAATAATTAAATATAATTAAGAAAAAAATGAATTATTAAACACTAGCTTAATTTATGTAATATTTAATAAAATCTATACTATATTATAAATTATTTGATAGGAATTTTTAAAAATCATTTTTTATGCATTAAGTACTGTTTATTAATGCATATTACTTAAACTTCAAGATTACAAGTAAATTGTGTGCAAGTACAATTAATTAAAACTCCATGTTTGAATTTATTTAACTAACTACAGATAAACATAATTAAATATATAATAAACATCTCACTTTAAATATAAAAAAACAAAAATATAATTAGAATAATCATTGAGTACTAACAAAATATTTAATTATTAAATTTTTTATAAAATTATATTATTAAAGCCAAAATAAAAAAAATGAAGTAACAAAATTACACAGAAAAACGAGAAATTTTAAATTGTTGGTTTGGTACTAATATTAATATACATTTTTCAAAATTTTATGATATCTTTATATTTAAATTTTATTGAAAAATAAAAAAATTATTGTTTTCTTAAAAACATATAAAACTGTGTTATAGCATTGACTGAGATAAAAAAAAACGAAACATTAAAATCGATAAGTGAAAAAAAAAAAGTGGTAAAAAGTTCTTGTGGGTTATTAAAACATTGTTTTGAATAATGTTTGAATAAATTAGCTTCTTTCAACTAATACTTATATCTAGTCAAATTGAAGTTTTTCTATTCAAAACATAAGCCTAGTTTATGATTGTTTTATAAATGATATTCTGGGCATAGTGTTCGTTTTTGAAATTTTCGTCAGCAATAAATGAAATATATATATATATATATATATGAGAGCGATCAAATGAAAACCACTCAATTTGTAAAAAATTCATTCCATCAATCATAATTTTTCATTTTGTTCAGTTTTTTGTAATTATAAGAGATTGATTAATCATTTTTATTGTGAAGGATGTTAATCATGGATATTATCATCTTCATTATTTTAATTTTAGAGAAATACATGAAACAATTTCATTAAAGTTTCATTAAATAGTATATGAAACAATTTCATAACCATATATGAAACAACTTAATCAAAAAAAATATTATATGAAACAATTTCATGAAAAAATTTCATAAGATTACGACAGATGAGATTAGTTTTTAAGGTTTTTACAAATTGGATTGGTTTTCATTTGATCGCTCCTCTCTCTCTCTCTCTCTCTCTCTCTATATATATATATATATATATATATATATATATATGGAGGTAGAAACGAAAACACTAACTAAATTTATAAGAGAACATTAAAATAGTTAAATCACGTACAAAATCACATGTGATTTACACTACTTGTGGTCACGGCGTCCAAAGTCGCGTGAATCATATGTGCTCTTACACTTGCTTTTAGAGTGTGTTTGGTGTCCAGACATGATAGGACATGATAACACAGGATAGAACATGATAGAACAACTGTTCAATGTTTGGTAAGATAAAACTAGACAAAATAGAACAAGTGAAGTGACTAATTTACTCCTAATGAGTTGTTTATTTAATTAATCTATGTAATTTATTAAATTATAAAAGAATAATTATATTTTATAACAAAATATGTCATTAAAAAGTTTTCGTCAAAACAATTTAAATAACACCAAATAAAAAGTTTATGCAGTTTCCTATTTTTATTTTTATCACTTTTCTACATTATTTTTATAATTAATATATAATAAATTAATAAAAATATAGAAACTGTATAAAATAATATTTTGAGGACAGTAAAATAAAAGTTTATGAAACATAAAATACAATAAATAAAATTTAAAGAATGAATAAAATGTAAAAAAAAAAACTTATTTGATGTTTTAGAAGAGAAATAAGTTTTATTTTAAGATTATATTGGTAAAATAGAAGTTTGTTCCACCTTATTCTACCGGTGGAACAAGCCTGTTTCACTCTGTTCCTGTCTGTTTCACATAAAATTCATGTCAAATATGTGACATAGATCCATGTCATGTTCTTGTCTTGTGTACCAAACATTATCTTAGTGTAAAATCACGTGATTGGAATGTTTTCATATTTTTTTATTTCATTATTGTTTCTTATATGAACCTGACTATATATATAGGAGAGAGATCAAATGCAAATCTCCCATTTGTACAAACCGTTGAAATCCCCTTCAACTATTCATAATTCTTTTTATTACATGATGATTAGTCATTTTTAATATGGGCGACGTTAATTATGGACATCATCATCTTCAACGGATTTATATAAAAAATGCTATAAATATTCGGAAATAGGCAAATTTGAAAATAAGTTCCATCAAAATGAGAATAAATGAAACAATTTCATTTTTACATAGAAACACAAACATATAAAACAATTTCATCAAAAAAAGAATTATACAAAACAATTTCGTTAGATTAAAATTTCATTAAATTAAACAATAAAATCGACAGATAATGATACTTTGTACGATTTATTTCATATAATACTTATGAAATTTTAATGAAACTGTTTATATATTTCTTTAAAATTAATATAATAAAGATGATAATATCCATGATTAACACCTTCACAATAAAAATGATTAATTAACCTCTTATAATTCCAAAAAAAACGAAAAAGAAAAACTAGAAAGAATAAAAAAATCATGATTGGTTGAATGAGGTTTGTACGGTTTATACAAGTAACATGATTTGCAAAGTAAAACTCTTCTCTCTCTCTCTCTCTCTCTATATATATATATATATATATATATATTGTTAGAATTCTGGTTTTCGATTGCTTGGATTCCACTGAGAGTCGTGTAGCACTTTCAGATTGAAGTATTTCGATGGTACAACCGAAATTTCAATCGGATAAAATTCAGTGGTTTTCGAACAGAGAATCAATTGTTATGAATCTGTGTACCCTCAAAAATCAAAATGACCAATATGAAAAAACGAATTCAAAAACTGTCAAAACGACAGTTTCAGAACCCTAAACCGGGTTTAAAAAACCCAGTTTGGGGCTGCCGCCCCTTGGACCCTGCCATCGGAGGCGCTGCCCCCGGACCCCGTCATTTAGGGGTTTCGCCCCTAAATCAAAATAAACTCAAACAAGTGTGCACTCCACACCTTCCTTAGTTGTTTGATATTTATTATGATTACATTATTCAACAAATTAATCCTATTAAACTTAAATGATATCAGTGATACAAATCACCAACACACACACACACACATATATATATATATATATATATATATCTATAGGCTCGAGTATGTTTAGTTCCTTGGATAATCAACTAGTACATAGTAATATGACTTCAAAACTGGGGAAACGAATTCTAGTTCATTGGTGACTTTCAAGATTAGCAGATAATAAGGTTTAAAGTGTCTGATTGATAAAACCTAAAAGGAAAAGAAGAGTTAAGAACTGACCTGAGAAAACAGTCATCAAGAATAGCATAAGCACCATTGCCAGAAGTGCAACGAGCCAGTGTTGACACCCCCACATCAATACAAGTTATACACCGGCCTGTTGGGAGGTACTGCCTGCACTGGGCGGTACCATATACTGAATCCGCATGCCCTAAATTTTGTGCTCTCGCAAAATGAACACCTTCCATGGATAATTGTCTTCTGAGTGCAGCAAACGTGGAGTTGAGATTCCTGAAGAAGTCCAACGGAGACATGGCATCAACACGATCACAGAATGATCTAATCACCGTGTCACCGGTGTTAGTGTTGTTGTTCGATTGTGAATGGCTTAGCTTCACAATGAATAACAGAAACACCGTTGTGGCCATCGACCACCATGACAACCGGTGGTGATTTGTTGACATTTACTTAGGAGCACCACAAAAGAAAGAGAGAAGGGATATTGATCAACATTAGATGAACATGGCAGAAAAATGAGTGTTTTCTGTGTCACCAATCAACATGATTGAGTTGACTTTTAGAAGATTATTCAACTCACGTGATTGAGTTGACTTTTTAAAGATTATACAAGACAAAAAACCAAAATATATAGAAAGAACAAAAGGGTCTAAGCCTGTAATTAATGTATTTTTTGTGTGAAAAAACTAAAAAAGTAAAAAAAAAAAAAAAAAAAACTCTTCTTATCCCTTCCCAATTTTACAAGATTTCCTTGCACGTGACTATTGACTCATATTTTAGATATTTCATTGTAAATTTTATGTAAAATTGTTAGATTCATGATGTGGTGGGAACCGTATAGTAAGAACCTTGCAAAACCATTGATAGAGCACGGATCATCCATGGGGCGTGATGCTTGCTATCGTTTTTCGAAGCAGGGACCGATCGGCCAATCAGCCTGCTCGAGATGATTTCTTAACGTATCTTTACATTTTCTGAGCAAAACCACGTTAATATATGTTAACTTATGTTACTGTATGGTAATATTCATCATTTTACGTGTTAAGGTTTGTTAATGTATGTTAACATTCATTGTTTTACATGTAAAGATATGTTAATATCTATTGTCTTTCATGTTTAGGTATGTTAATATTTATTATTTCTTATGTGAAAACATATTAACAAAGTAAGTTAATATATGTTAAAATTCTCATGTTAATACATTTCAAGGTTGTAATATATGTTTAGAGTTGTTAATATATATATATATATATATATATATATTGATTATATCACTAAACATATTCAATGAACTTAATACTACAATCACATTTCTTACTGATGAAAAACGAAAAAAATTAAACGATTACAGTTTTTTTTTGTTTTTGATATGATGTTTCTCTAACTTGTCACATATTTTTTACGTTTGAAAAATCTGTAAAAAACCTAAGTTTATCTAAAAATATCTATTTTCGTTATGATAAAAAATCTGTTACAGATATTTTTATATGAGAATTGGGGCATTAAATTGTTAGACATTTTATATGATGTCTTAACATAATAGAACTAAGATGTAACGTGCACAAGACATTTATAAATGCACTTTAATGACATGGTTGAAAACATTAAATGAAGTTGAATAAATAATGAACCAATAATGTATTCAAAACAAGTTTAATGAGTCAATGGCACCCTGATGGCCTGATTTGTCTACAACATCCCTAAACCCAATGAATTCATGGTGGCGTCTTTTGAAGTTGAATAATTGAACTTTGAAATGGTAAAACGGATACAACGTCTTGAATCTTCCATGACATTAAATAGTTTCATGTGCTTTTGTGCATCATTTTTTTTTGCAAATGTTGGGAAGCTATTTTGCAATTAACGTTGGTACTCATAAAAAACTTTGCAATCATTTTTGTTAAGTTTAGGATCATATATTTATGATCAATTTGTTTGGTTTTTCATTAAGTTATGTATGATTAAACTGATTGTTGAATTAATTTGTTTGCATAGATTTAGAGAATTTTGTGTAAGAGGGGTTGTTCATCTATAGAAGGAGCATATTTTTTTAGTTTTGGAAAAAAATTGGATTTCTACATACAGCTCCCCTAAAAGCTTAATAAGTACGTCACTTTTCATATTACTAAGGCACTATTAAATTGTCTTGTATAGTTGATCAAATAAGCTGTGAGTCTCATTAACGTCATTAAATTGTTAACAAACATACCCTTCGTCACTACTTACATCCAAGGTCGTCTTAATCTTTTTGGAAGCTCTGTTACACATGTTACCACATGCTACTATTATATTTCATCTAAAAAAAGTAATAAACAAGACAAAAAGTTATAAAAGTTCACATCATATTAAAAGTCTTAGAATATAAAACAACAAAAATGCTTAAAATGACAAAGGAACATGTGAAATTCACTTAAACAAAATCATTCTTTTAACATTATTGGAAACAACGTCTTCAATGAGTTCTTCATAATCAACATTATCCAAAAAGTCATTTTCAATTGCAATTAAAGCAAGTCCGTAAGTCTATCTTGTGTCATTGTGGAGCGCAAATAGGACTTCAATAGCTTCAACTTTGAGAAACTTCTTTTCTGCTGAGGCAACAATTACAAGAATAGTCAACAGAACTTTATAAGCAGTAATAGCATTAGGGAAATATTCTACATGCTTCAACTACTTCAAAATATCAATAGGTCCCTTATATTGATTTGGTAAATAATCTTGAAGTAACTTCAATTCGACATACAAGTCATTCTCATTTACATCAGATTGGTCTTGTCTCTTTAGTGCATTTTCAAGACTAGTACAAGAAGACTTCAAACACGTGTTATCCAAAGAATGGAGCTTATCAGAATTAAATAAAAACCCAAAGACACTTGATAGAATTCCTACACCCCCAAATCCCTAAGTAATCAATAACTATGATCAAATTGATTGAATCTCTAGTTTGACACTCATTGATAGAATTTCTACCATTCCTTCCTTCTCAAACACTTGTAATCTGGATAGTGGATTCCATAGATATGCCTACCGAGAGTCTTAAAGAAAATTAAAAATCTCATAGAATGCATAATTTCACAAATGACAAATTATATTTCATTTCGTTCAAACTCAATCCAATTGTGTAACATCCCAAAATTTCGAAAACTTAAATATATTAAAACTAGTGTCCCAAGATCAAACACTTACATTGCAGCGGAAATAAAATTTCTAAACTTACAAATTATATCATGTTGATCCTCTCTCTCAGTGATTTGATGATAATCCCTTTTTCCTTTCGATGTATTTTTGTGATTCTRTACTTTCAGTTCCAGCGATCAATGCACTGAGCATGTTCAGTGATCGCTGAAGAACTCGCATTGTAATTCATTCAGAGACAACGATACTTCAAGAAAACAACACTCACACCAAAGATCCTTCA